TTGCTTTCATTGTTTTTAGTTAGTATTTTTTTAATTAATCATTTAAGTAATACTTCCTCCGTTCCATAAAAGTTGCAACATTGGAATTTCTGCACTATTCACACACCTTACTTTGACTACGATTTTCTAATAATATATATAATCAAAATATTATGTATAAAATATTAATAAATTTGTATTAATGTAAATTTCCAATATATTAACTTTTTTAATGTTTACTAATATGTAAATAAATATAATTACAGTCAAAGTTGTGCATTTGCAAACGTGAAAGTAAAACTGTTGCAACTTTTATGGAATGAGGATGGTATATAGTAATAATTACTCTAATTATTTTAAACAAAACTTGTTTAATCAAATACGTAGTGCTATCTAGACAAATAATACGAAGTATATGCTTATAATATTTTATATTAATAGTTATGCTCTCTATCTTGAATTAATTTGATGTTTTTGGATTAGATGATTGAGTGATTATAAAATTAGATACTATAAATTTTTGTAGTATGATGAACATTCGATATATCAAAGTAGATATTAAAATAGATTTTATTCAACAAATTTTAAAATTTGCAGTTATAAAAATGATTTATATTGTTGAAGTAACAATAGTTATAAAATTTCCATTCTTAGCAATACTAAAATACAATGAGTATTATTATGTCTTTATATGTCTTTTTATACTCTATCTGCCATTTCGAAACAACCAATTTTACCAAACATTTATTTATAATCAGCTAACATAATCAGCCGGTCAAAACAGCCAACACAGCCAGTTGTTAGGAAACAGCTGACACAACCAGCTAACAACAACATCTAATAGCCATTTACCAAACAAGGCCTATATGAAGTTACATCTTCCTGTGCGTGAGTTACATCTTTTAATGCGTGAGTTACATTTATTTATGCGTGAGTTACATCTTTTTATGCGCGAGTTACATCTTCTTATACGCGAATTACATTTAGACTTGCATTAACAAGTTACATTTTGCGTACACCTAAATTAGATTTTCATCAACGCGAGTTACATTTTCTATAGCATGAGTTACATAACATCATAAAGCCCTGCTATTTAAACAAAATAATCAGTTTTATGCAAAAAATTACAAAAAAGTAATTTCTTAGGCAAAAAACTGTTTTTCAAAAAATATTTTTATGGTCTTGATATAAAAAACAGAACATATTCACTAGTTAAGTAATCCCCTGCTATTTAAACAAAAAAACATTTTTTTTTTGCAAAAAAAAAAAGATTTTTTGGGTGAAAAATAATGATTTTTTGGAAAAATAAATGATTTTAAGAAAAAAACATTATTTATGGTCTTAATATTAAAAACAAAACATATTCACTATTTACGTAAAGTAATTGAACAATTAGATTGTTTATTTTAATTGAAATCAATGTTTTGTTTCTTATAATCCATATTAGACAAGTTACATTTCGACTTGTCTGCAGTTACATTTTTATCAACGTGAGTTACATGTCTTTACACATGAGTTACATCATTTATGCTACCATGACAAAATGAAAAAAAGGAAAGTTCTTGAAATAAGACTAAAACAGTTTGAAAATTCCAAAACAGGACTGTCACGTTTTTTATTCCCAAAATAGGAGTAATTACTGCCAAGTTTAGAAAATACTGACATGTTTGAAACCTGGTACTGCTAAAACATGACAATAATTAGTCCTATTTTGAAAATAAAAATATGACATTCCTATTTTGAAATTTTCAAACTTTTTTAGTCCTATCTTTTGTAATACAATAACAACATCCAAGCCTTAATCCCAAAAGAATTTGGGGTCGGCTAACATGAATCGATCTATGATATCGATGCCAAAAAGAGAAGGCGGACAAGAAAAGGGAAAAAAAGTAAGATAAAATGAATAAAATAAAGATACATAAATATAAGATAACAACAACACAAGAATATAACCAAGATAAAAGAAAAATAAATAAAAGAGCATAAAAAACTAGAAGATAAAAATAACATAAGAATATAAAAAGATAAGGAAGATAAACGATAAAAGAAACAAGAGAGAAAAGGTAGACAAAACATCAATCGTCCACATGGATGTGCGCCCTCCACTTTGTTCTCTCCAAAGTCATACTCTCATCCAACCCAAGAAAACGCATATCAGTTCTTTCTTTGGTAATATTCTAAAAAAACAGTTACCGTACACGCGTATAATATTCACGCGTGTACTGTTCACGTGATTTTTTTTTTAATTGTGCAAAACTACGTCGTTTTGTGGGTGAAGTATGATGCTCACCATGGGATGAGTGAACTGAGAAAAAGGTAGGCAGCTATTTAGTGGCTAAGATTATCCCTAATCGTACCCCATCAATAAATTAAATTCTCAACAAATTCTTACAAAGAATGTGTATTTACTTCGTCGGTTCAGTTTTTTCCTGCAATCCAACACCATCAATATAATATATTCATCTAACACATTTTTGTTAATTTAATCCTTATATTTATTATTATTACAATCAATTTTTTGACAATATTAAAAATTCAAACAAACCGATGTAAAATAAATAAATTTGTATTGTGATTTCATTTTTGTTATTTCGGACTTATTTTTATATAGATTTTTCTTATCAATTTTATATATTCAATATTGGTGTCATTTGAAAGATAATAAAAAGTTATAAAATTTGGATATGTTTTTTATAAAAAGTCAAGTAAAAATGTACTCAGGCCCATGATTATTATACAATTGGGGCCCGCAAACTACACTTTGCTTTTCTCCGCATCCGTGAATACCCAGCCTCCATGGAGACATGGAGTACCCACTACCCATTCTACTTATACTACGTACGTTTTTTAGAGAATTCCCCAAACAGGAGCATAACATAGTCAAAATACAAAAATAAGAGTATCATGTTTTGAATAGGAGTAATTTTAGTGTTTTGACAAGTATACCTCTACCCAAGCCTCAAGAACTTTTAATTAAATGTTTAATTTATAATAAATTCATAGAAAAATAATTACAAAATTTATAAAATATTAATAAAATAAAAAATAGTAAAACTCCATAAAAAAATTAAAAAAATATGGATGCTTTTCCCACCGCTTGTACTACCTCCCTGCACCACCACCTCCGGGCGGTGAAAAAATTCCATTTTTCCTAAAAACTGTTTTTTTTTCCTGAAAATGCCAAAAGCATGGCATATTTCTCTTTGCGAATGCCAACATTTTCATTGTTTTCTGCCATAAATATGACATTCGTAATGAACTTGGCATTTTTTCCCTTGGTGACTGGAGGTGGTGGTGCTGAGACGGCGGAGGCGGCGGTGAATTTTATTTTATATTTTTGATTTTTTTTAAAAAAATATATTTTTTTTGAAAAATAAATAAATAAATTATTATTATCGAATAAGTCATAAATTAACTAGGTTAGGATTAAATAAGTCATATTTTAGAATTAATTAGGTTAGGGATATTAAGGGTATAAAATTAATTTTTACTCCTGTTGAAGGAAGTTTTAAGTTTTAATCACAATCTGACAGATAGAGAGTGAGGCTCTGTTCCCGGTACTTGCAAAGGCCCTATCATTTTTAGCATAGTAACCCCTCATCGCAGTTGTCGGATTCGAACTCGGAATATAACTCTTGTGACACTCCCTTGGTACCAGTTGAGCTACGCCCACCGATAACTTGGACTTCTAATACCTTTGGCTTTGGAGTGATGGCACGGTTCACCTCTATACTGAACCCTGTGATTAGTGATGGATTCGGGCCGGGTCGGGCCCGGGTCAGGCCCGGGCTGGGCCTAGGCCCGGTCGGGCCGCCGGTTCAAGAACAGTGGGCCCGGGACCGGCCCGAGGGTTGGACGGGTCCGGTTCGGGCCGGGCCACCCGCCCGGGTCACGGGTCCGGTCCGGTTCGGGCCGGGCCGGTTAATTTTTTTTTTTATAATTTATATTTTATATTTTATAGTTTATAGTTTGATACGAGTATTAAAAACAAACTTCAATTGCATTTATTTGAAATGAAATAGGAACTACATTTGAAAATTAAAACAAACTTTAAGAGATAAACATTTTGAAAATTGTAATCAATCGGAACTTCTCGCACCTCCCGATCCTTTGGCTTTGTCACATGACTTCATATGCTTGATTGCCATCCCGAATCCGCCTGAAACCTCCATAATACATTTTTTTCGCACCATTTACAAATTGCGTACCACATCCCGGTCTTCGGGTCCTTCTGCTTATCAAAATTATACCGTATAATGGCATTTTTATTTTCCATCTTAACTTCTTGGAGAAGAGAATTAGAGAGTAGATATATAATATATTGAAAAATAAGAGAATTAGAGAGTAGAGAGTTAAGAATAAGATTTAGGAAGAATTGGAGAAGAGATATGAAAAAATGTTTAAGAGTAGGAGAATTTATAGGTTTTTTTACCCCCCACCCCCACCCCCTACCAGCCAACCCCCCGGACCCCCCCTTTACCCCACCCAACGGCTATATAGCCGTTTGGGTTGTCCCCAGCCCCACCCCCAAGGCCTCAACGGCTAGTAGCCAAAAATCAAAAAAAAAAGTTTTTTTTTAAAATAGACCCGGACCCGAGCCCGACCCGGCCGGGTCACAAAAATGATGAACCGGGCCCGACTCGTTTGATCGAACACACATCGATAACCGCCCCAAATGACAACGGCCACACAGAGCCTCCTATAGAGGGATGATTTGCACATTTTTCGGTTAGTTCAAAAGCTTATTTGCACCTTTTCCCTATATGTAATTACCCCTCCGTCCCGGAATAAACTTCCAACTTTCTTTTTTCGTCCGATCCAATTAAAACTTCCACTTTCCCTTTTTAGTAAAGAATTTGTGGTTCACAACATTTCTTACACATTTCTCTCTCCTCTGCACAACTCTCCACCACACAATACCTACTATCTTAAACTTTGTGCCAAACAAATTTGAAAGATAAAATGGGAACGGAGGTAGTGTACATAATAGTAAAGTTTTTGAATGACAAAAACAGTTTGTACGGATTAATATCTGTAATTACACATTTGTAAAGTAGTTAAATGAACATAATAGTTTGTACGAGGTATAATATAACATTGTAGAAATTAAATAAATTGACACTGTGGTGTACTGAAAGGATTAACTTTGTAACTTGCAAGTATGATAAGGCTATGGTTCATATATGACCTACTGACATTTCTTCAAGTACACGTGCAGACATTAAGGTCCCTATTTTGGAAGTTTCAACCCCAATTCAATATGTGGCGAATTATGGAGTAACTCGACCTGTGGTGATAACACTATTCAGAAGAGAGCACATAAGCACATACCATAGACTTGTAAGCCATAAGCAGATCCAAAAGCTAATAAAAACATAGTACCAAGGTGTTGTAAACTTCATAAGTTCGGAAATAACAAATATTCTAATAATAATAAAACAACAAAAATGGCAATTAAGGATCAGAAAACATAATGCAAAGCCACCAACTAGCCAGAGACACATCCAAGGCTTCACTTCTTTGATTTTTTAGATACCCTGCACAGATTACCAGGCAAGAGACCCATCAATTGATTAACAAACAAAGGCAGAGAAAGAAATCAATATGATCAACATTCAGAACACTTACTGTGGGGCTGATTGGGTTTGAGGAGCTGCTGCTGGAGCAGGTGCTTCCTTCTCCACTGTGCCCTGTAAGTGACAAGGCAAGGAATACAATTAACAACAATGTTATTCAGAGGTAAATACAAAATGCGCAACCTTGATTCAGAAGTAAATACAAGTTAATAACTTTAAGAAGTCACCAAGTACATAAATAAAAAGAAACCTACTAGAACAGATCACTTGCCAATATAGCCTATGTTTCATATGAATCACTCGAATGCAATTGCATCCTCTTTCAAAAGTAAATTACTACTCCTATAACCTTAAATACCACCAAGATGATGACATATAGTTAGCTTGAGCTACATATTATAAACCTATATACTATACTTCGTACATCATTGTAAAAACTAAAAAGGGTTGCCTACAATACATAATAAGCACAACAATATCTGTAAACTGATAAACATTAATTTGGAGTGAATATGACCATCAAGTATTAAGTGCCTAAATATTCACATGGAACATAGAGACCTAAACATAGAAACCTTTTTTCTCAATTTAAGATTAGTAAAAATGATTACCTTAGCAAAACGTTCCTCTCGCCTTGCAAACTTTCTCTCACGGCTAGCTTTGTTCTTGGCTCTCTTGGCCTCGAATTGATCAGACAGTGTCTTCTCTCTGGCTTTCTCAGCCTTTGATTTGTGGATGCTTTCCATCAGCACACGCTTGTTTTTGAAGACATTTCCCTTGACTTTCATGTACATATCATGGTACATGTGCTTGTCAATCTTCTTAGCCTCTCTGTACTTGCGAAGCAAACGCCTAAGCACTCTCATCCTCCTCATCCAAAGAATTTTAGTAGGCAACCTAGCCTCCCTGGTACCCTTACGTTTACCTAATGAGTTCAATTGAAGCAGAAAATTAACATAAATTCAGAAACAGAACATTTTAAACATATCTTGTGATTGTGATGCTCTTTTGGCATGCAACATCAAAATTTGTTTCAATTTAGCGTAGTGGGCATCATCACAATTTAGGTGGTATACCATGTCCAGAATGGCGACCCTTTCTTTTGGCTTCCTTCATTCGACGGGCACGAGACCTGGAGTGGATCTTAGTTGGCTTCCTGATAATAAATCCATCCTTTACCAACTTCCTGATGTTTTGACCTGCATCGAAGAACATTTACATGATTATACATTTATGCATGGTAATGAGATTAATCATAAATCACGTTTCTCTATGAATTCAAAACTATGAATTCATTTTAATAAACAGGTCGAAATTATGTGATCGTGAAGAACATGTTGAAATTATGTGATCAAACCTATGAATTCATTTTAATAAACATATCGCAAGAACATAAAAGGAAGAAAAAAGCCCATTAATATAGTAAACACTCAGATCTAGCAACATCAATTCTCGGATTGAAGTAGCCGTCGTCGGAACTCCAGGTTTAGAAAAAACATTAGAGAGAACACACGATTTGATACGACAAAGAAATGATACTGAAAAACTCACGGGAGTTAGCCATGGAGATTTCATTGACTTCATTGGGATCAAGCCAAACCTTTCCTCTTCCGCACTTGAGCACGCTTGAGGCGAGCCGCTTCTGCAACTTCAATGACACCATCTTCGCCCGACCTCTCTTACCCTCTCTAAAACAGGCACAAATGCGAGATATGGAGATATCGGCCCTTATATCCTTCCATTGGCTAGGGTTTTAAATTTATGGTCTATCTTCGCGCATCTTGCCTCACGAATTTACTTACCCAGCGATGGCCTTCTTTAAAAGGGCCCGAGTAAAATTGCTCTATATCCTTAAATGAAGCCTAGGCTTGGATTCGGTTCGGGCCACCGGGTCCATGACCCAGTCCGGCCCGCTACTGTACGGGCCCGGGACCGACCCGGTCTGGCGATCCGGGACCGGATGTAGACCTGAACCGGGGGGAAGGGCGGGACGGGCTCGGTTCAGTCAAAAGATGACCCGCCCCAGCCGGGTCGGGCCCAGGCCCAGGTCTCTGACGGTCAAAATTCAAAAAAAAAATGTTTGGGCCACAAATAGCCGTTGGGGTGGGCTGGGGACTACCCAAACGGCTATATAGCCGTTGGGTGGGCTGGAAGGGGGGATCCGGGCGGTTTGGGTGTGGGTGTGGGGTAAAAAAACTATAAATACTCCTAATCTTAAACATTTTTCCATCTTTTCTCCAACTCTTCCTAAATCCTACTCTCTACTCTCTAATTATCTTCATCTTCTCAAATTCTCTTATTTTCCAATATATTATATATCTACTTATATTAGTTATCTACTTAGAAATACATATATTATATTACTTATATTTCTTATCTACTTATGTATTTATATATTAATTATCTACTTATAAATACATATATTATATTACTTATATTTGTTATCTACTTAATCTCTACTTATTATCTACTTATATCTACTAAATACATACATATTACAATTTATATCTACTTACTTAGAATTGTTAGAATTTTATGTCATTAAAATTAGAATTGTTAGAATTTTATTTCATTAGTTCGAATTGTTTTTATAAATTAATATTTTTTACATTTTTAAGATGGAAGGTGGTAGATATTCGGTTGATATGGGTAACCTCGAGCGCAACCGAACGAACGAGCTTGCGAGGAAGAAATCCCGCAAAGGTAAATCATATATCGGCTCTTCATCTCAAAGCCGAGATGATTTTGATACAGGTTACGCAAGGAGGGATGAGGATGCCATGATCGACGAACAACTAGAACAAGAATTGCACCGACATAATAGTCGATTTTTTCAAGACCAGCCAAGGACCATTGACGAAGAAGAGCTCAAGGACGACGATGTGGAGGAAGTAATTCCGGAGAGTCACGACGGCGACGCGGAGGAGGGTGGCGGTAGCCACGACGCCGACGAGCCTGCCTCATCCCAAACAGGTAGTAAAAAAGTAGATCTGAACTAATGCAAAAATAATTTTGATAAGTGGAAGGACCCGAACACCGGGAATTGGAACGCAGCTTGCAAGTGGTGCAAGAAAAATTATAGATTGGGGATTTCCAGCGGATACGGATCCGCCACAAGGCAGCTTAAGGCCAAACATTTAGTGCCCAATCTACCCCTGGCCGGGGCGTAGATTGTGAGGTTTTTCATGAGGAACAGTCTGTTCCAAGCTACTCATGTCCTCCATGGTTTTTCATTAATGGCTTGCCCAACCAGAAGCTACACATGTCCTTGCCTCACCTTCTCGATGATCACACACATACCAGAATGAATACACTAGTCTAGTTTACATGGATTTAAACTAATCTACCAACTAATCTAAGCTCTATAGATGTGTATGAATGATGAGCTATTCTAAGAGCATTAGATGAGTGGGGTGGTAACCAACGTGGTGAAGGTGAATCAGCTAGCTGGATGTTTTTGTGTAAACCTTGATTCCCTTCTGTTCCATTAGGTTCCAGTATACCAGGGTTTATTGTCATCTGGTGCCACATTTGGTCTTCCCGCACTCCTTCTGTATTTATAGACTTTGTTGTTCAATCTCCTCCGTTGGCTAAGTGATCCAATCTTGATCATTGCTTGATCTACTTGCTTTGTTCCACTTGACTGGGCGGCATGGTTGATTCTTGTCTTCTTGTGACACGGATCATTTTATCCTCTCTCAACTTGATTCCTCATTTCAAGGCAAAGATAAGATGATTTATCTTTATCTTTTTAGCTTACAGAAATTCAGTATCTAGGCCGAGTGTTGTTCAATGCTTCCTCAAGATAAGATTACTTGCTTTCAGTAAATAATGTTACAAACAGAAATTTTGTCACATAATTTCTCGTAACATTATTTTTTATGCATTCCGTCATTTTGACTCCAAGTGGGTCTTCTGTCTTTTTGTTTCTGTGCTAAGAGAAGAATAGTATGTATCGAGTTCTTTATCAGAATACCTCAACAAAATACCTTACCAGAATACCTATGAGGTCTTCCGTTCCGGTGCAACAGAGAACCACTTCCGTTGTTGAGGTTCTCTGATACGACCATGACCGAAGGTCTTCTGGTGACCCAACAGAAAACCAACTCTGGTGTTTATCAGAGATGATCAGTTCTGATAACTATCAGAGTTGAGGTTCTCTGGTATGATCAGAAGGTCATTGAAGGTTCTCTAATCAAGTCTCTGATTTCATAAGGGTTTCAGTTGACTCTTTTCGTACCTTTTTTGTTTGTTTCTTTTCTTTTTGTTTTATGGTACGTTTCTTCTCTTTTTAGTACTCTCTAATTTTCTCGAGTACTTTATCACTATTGAACATATTACAATAAACAGTAGTAGAACAAATACAAGTGCTGGTCTATTACAGGGATATTATAGTTTTTAGCATCATCAATACTATTGTCTTGTTTGATCATCAAAATCTAGGGGACCTAACAATTTCCCCCTTTTTGATGATGCCTAAAAACTATACATAAAAATGAGATTTTAAGAGTTTTTGAGGTGCCATTCTTTTCCCCCTTTTAGGCATCACTCAAAAATGTGCTCTTTTGTTTGTGAGGAAGGCATTGTGCTGAGATGATTCTCCTGGAAAAAATCCTTGCATGGCCTTCCTTTTTCTCCTCTCATATTCATGCTTTATTTCTTCCAGTTTGTGCTGGTAGATCCTGTGGATGTATTCCATTGAGGTGGCAATCTCAATGTTCTTCGTTCTTAACCATCCCAGGGCAAACTTTTCTTCTTTTCTTAATTCAATCTCATTTAGGAGAAGAATGTTGATTGAAGTCATCCTCCAGCTTTTCCAATTGAGCACTCTGCAGTATTCTTTGCCAAGTTCTTCCTTTTCTTTACTGACATTGAGCAATGTCTCAGTAGGGGAAGTGTTCTCTTGTGCTCTGGGGCTGGGAATGTCTGTTGGCTCAGTTGGTCCAACTGATGGTCCTAGCGTTAGCTCAAGATTCAGGGGATAGGATGAGGAGGAATCCATTTGAGTTAGAGTGATGATACTTTGTAGGAGTCTCTGTGAGGATGGTGAGCTTTTGAGAGTAAGGCATATGTGTGAGGCAAAGAATGTATTTATAGCTAACATGCTTCAATTTGCATTCAATTGCTTTGTGGCAATCGAAGCGTTTCATTAATGATCTTGTGATTGTCTCTCTTTTCTTAGCAAAAAGCAACTTCGATAAGTGAGTGAGATGTTGAGAAACTCACTTGACTTATTAATGCAGTTGCCTTTGATCTTGACATAAATGAATGAGTCAGCTGCTTGATCACCATGTGTCGTTGTAGGATTTTGCATGTAACCATAAATTCTTCGTGCTTCCTTTCCTTTGATTTGATTGAAGATAATCCTCTCTCATGCTCATTAATGTAACACCTTATCGAATGTGAGCATGCTTATGATGTAATCAAGATTAATTCCTTCTGCATGGCTGAATTTGGATAAATACTCCATATTTTATTTCAGGATATTCATTGATTAATTTGATCCTTCAGTCTTGAGCAATATCTGTTCTTCTTGGTTTTTCAGATAGCCCATACTTAGAATAATTTCCTGAATTTCCTGAAACATTTGAGGTGTTCCAAGTATAAAATAAACTGGGAGTTGGTGTTTCAGCAGAACCTCTTTCTATTTGACCAAGAGTTCTGTTCCTTGACAGAACTGCTTTTGGTGTTCTGTTTATCAACAGAAGCTTGAGGTATTCTGTTGGTTTCAGCAGGCAACCAAAATTTTCTGAAGGATTCAGTTTTGCTGCTTTGCATGTTGACATCATTCTTCTTATTTCCTTCTTTCTAGAGTTTCTGGTGAACCATAACTAATTCTCCTTTTGAACGTCTCCTTCTGTTATCCAGAACGTTGACCGATCTCTGCCATAATGATTTGTTTTTATTAAACAAATCCCACATGATCCTCAGAGTTAGTCAAGTCATCTGGTTTCTGGACTTTGTCAATTGGAGTTGAATAGATGCATTTGAAGCCTAGAACACTCTTGAAAGATTAAGTAGCATTTTAGCAAACATTTCTTTGTTGCTAAAAAATCCTGTAGGCTCTTGTTTCAGCCTGTGATTTGAGAGTTTGCTGATGTCCTTTCATCACTCATCTTCATCTGAATAATCCTCAATTCTATTGGTTGAGCGTATCCTCTTGAAGCTTTTTGAACATTCCCCCTGTGTTGATGATTGAGTCCTTTTGACTTGTAAACTCAGAAATGGACATTCTTAGGACACTGTTATTAGCATGATCTAGCTTTTTACAGGGTGCTGCTAAATTAGGACGCTGCTATTTAGTAGGTTGCTCCTATTTTTAATAGAACATTTGCAAGATGCTCCTATTAAAAACAAGACTCTACAAAATAGTAGGGTGCTCCTTTTGAATTAGAGTCCATTCCATAAGTTTTTGTTGAGGTGGAGAAGTTCCCCCTCAATATGTGATATTCTTCTCATAAGCAAGATGAATGTCATAATGTTTGCCTAAAACCTTTGAGTGGTTCCCTCTGAGTTGTATGCCCTTCAATTGATATCAAATGATGATACCAATTGACATTTTACTGTGATGAGGAGGAGTACCTTTAGGGTTGATGGAGTATATGGCCTGGGACACCCCGGTCCACAGACTCCTGCTTCTTCTACACATGCCCATCAAGCCCGATGAGCACACAAAGCCCAAACGTAGCGGCCCAAGCATGAAGAAGCCCACGCTGCACACGTGGATGCCTTCGGCCCTATGATCGAGGGCTCCAAATTATGGGAGACAACTTAATATAGTCATGCAAAGCTTCTGGAAAATCCTGGCTAAAATGTT